CATATACAGTGTAATTGGCTGATTAAGTGCCCAAACACTAAGACATTTTTTGTTTGGCTATAGCTTGGTACCTATTCCCCCCTGGGTGATTGGAGGAAAATTTGAGTAAAGTGCCTTTCTCAAGGACACAATGTCGAGCCCCTGATGAGATTCGAACCCATGACCTTACGGTTGCGAGTCCGCGACCCTCACCATTAGGCCACTGAAATATTTTGCAGTATCCTATGATTATTAACTGTTTATTGGGAAATTAGGAAAGTCAGAAGTTACTGAAATCTGAAAAATGAAATAAGAGGTCTTTATCATCTGAGACCATATACTCGGGTGAGAATAAAAGATTGAGTGTTGGATTCGTGTATGAGGAAGGGATGGTATGGGTTTAACAATACAGCTATCAACACAAGAAGGGTTTTATTTTACGATGCCACACCTCTGAAGTGAATGCCTGTCTCCCATTGTACCAAGTCAAGTGGGTAGAGAGAATTGTGCATTCTCTAAAGTTCAGGAATGTCCCTGGGATTCAAACCATGGTCACCTGTATCATAGACTAGCATGGTACCAAGTTGAAGTAAGCATGCAGCTTTTTCACTCTGTCATGCCAACTGTGTCTCTCAGATGTCAGCAAGCAAGGCCATACCTTTCAGTACAGTTTCTTCTCTGCTTAACAGCACACGTAGTACATGCTGATAATAATTGAATTTGAATTTATAAACTGCCTATCCACGCTCTTCAACAAGCTCTATGTGCTTTACAACTATAATTATCCCAGCAGACCCTAGAATACATTCTCGGCTTCTTGGGAAGCATACAGTTCAAGCTGCGGATTGCTTGAGCTCAAACACAACCCCCCCCTCCCCAGACCTTTCGCTGTTTGAAGCCGGGTACACATTCTCATCTTGGTAGAAATTTGTGAAAAATACCTTTCCCAAGGGCACAACCTCAAGCCCCTGATACAATTTGAACTCATGGTGTTACGGTTGCGATTCAGAGACTAACGATGACAATGACAATCTTTATATTTCATCTCGCAGGGAGAAATTTGTCTTGGTCGATAACAATGGCAGTAGACAGACGTTACAAAGGTTAGGTGCACTCACGCATAAGCCCAACAAGTCAGGACATTAGTAAATTATATGTCTCACGTGCTGGAACAACCCGCTCG